AATAATTTAAATCTTAATTTTATTAATTTTAAATTAATAAAAGTTTTATTGAGTTGTTTGTATGCTTTGATGATTTGTTTACTAATTTTAATCAGATTTAGTATTATTTTTACGCAAAATTATTATTAAATCAATAGACAATTTTTCATAACAACATTATGCTACAGTATTTATAGATTAATTCCTATATTATAAATACACATTTGCAAATATATTAAATTCAATATATTATTTTAATTTTTATATATTTATTTAAATTATATAAATCAAAACAAACTAAAATATTTTATTGACATTATAAATGTTTTTCTGTAATTTATCTGTTTTACTGTGGATTTTGGTTTAAAATTTCATTTGAGTTTAAAATAGTAGCGTATTATTCAATCTTACATTAACACAATTTATTGATTAAAATTCATTCTAAGATAAAATTTTTCGATAGTTTTATTAAATATATTATATGAATATTACTAACAATAATAATTGTTTTTGCAATTATGATAATTATCTATTCAATTCAAAATTTTAATTATAACATTTAATATTATTATACAAAAAAGACACCGTCAGGTATTACATGTTTAGTCCATTAAAAAACTACTAAACAATCTTAAGTTAGATTTTTGGTCACCCGGTTTGTATCAATAAATCACACGTTTTACAAAAAGACTTTATAATATAGGTTTATTTGATATTTAAATAAAAACATTTATTAAATAACATATTAAATGCTATTTTATAACATTATATTTATATAAATATAGTAAACTATTTAATTTGCTGGTATCTTTTTTTCAATATATTAATATAAAACTATTTTATTTAACTCTCAAATAAGTTTGTCTATTTGATCTTTGAAGCATCTAATTTATATGTATATAAACAGTATATATAAGACACTTATAAATAATCTGTAGGCAATATCAGTCAATTATGTGATAATTTATGCAAATTAGATAAAGTGTTGTGTGTGTGGGCAACAATTTTTAAGCGAAAAATATAACATTAAAAATCAAATTTAATGTAATTTTAACTGTGAAAATGGATTTGTGTTTTAAAAGTAATTTTAATTTTTAGATGAGATTTTTAGTTAAATGTTAACATATAAATGGATGTCAACAATAAAATGTCTTAAACTGTCAAACTATTGTATAACACAATAGTGATTAATTGGATATTTTTATGAGACTATATTTGTTTAATGTAAAAGTTGTATGAAATAATATGTTTAAAAAACCATTGTTTATTACTTAATTTATATTAAACTTTTACAAATAATAAATCATATTTGTGTTAATATTAGTGTTGATGATAATTAACAAATTATTATAATGTTTTTAATATTTATACAGTATATAAATTTAGCTAAATTTCTAAATAGTGTTTTACTTAAGATTTTCACTAAAAAATACATAAAAGATAAATATATCAAAACACATTTTATGATTTATATATCATTATATGTAATATTTTGTATTTTATTTATTGATTATTTATTTGTGCTATAATATAAATATAGTTGATTTATATAATTTAAATATAAAACATATTACAGTTTATAGAGTAATACTGCAATATAAATGGCATAACAAGCTTTGGCTTCAAATTAAACGACAGGTGTTATTATGAAACACTAACTCCGGTAGTATTTTTGACAGACTAGACATTACTGTAATTTATATATTTAAATATAGACTAAATAAATATCATTTTAAGAAATTAATTAGTTTATTTTAGGATAATTTTAAGATAATTGAATGAAACATTTAAATTATTAAATATAATTTTTGTATTTATAATACAAAATACTAGTAAATAATAAATTATGTTTTTAGTATAAAAGATATATATATTCTTTATAAAGATTTTTAATAAAATAATTTGTTGTTTAAATATTTAGAGTAATATAAATAGTTAATTATTGAGAATTTCTTAAAAATAGATTCAAATCTTAATAAACTGTAATTTAAATTAGACTTAAACATTGCCGATAAGCTAACTAATCATTTTCTTGTTAATCAATTATTTATTTTTATTACAATTAATATCTGATAATACGTTTGTTAAACATAAATATTTATAAGTTTTAGCTTAATTAGCAATATTAAACAAAACTAACGTTTTTTCTATAAAACCCAATAATTGCTTAATATATAAATATAAATATATATATATATATATATATATATGAATATCAGTTTATAATATATAAAGATATATACAATATATATAATATAAAATACTAACTAACAAAAAAAAAATATGGCACCGGAATTATATTATTGGTCACAAGGATTGACATATAAGTAGGAATTTATTTTGATTTAATGGCTGTCACTGACTACTGTTATAAACAACAAAATGGGTGTTAAATCTTATGATTGCATTGAATGTTATTTTTTTTATATATTTTGTTGTTTTTTTGTTATATTGTTTCAAATGAAAATGGTTTTGTGTTTTCATAATAAGAAAACCAACTTATTTATATATATATATATATATATAGCAAAAACAACTTTTTCTTTTATTTTTGCTATACTTTCTCTATTGAAAGTGTCGCGCAAATTAAATGCACTTTTGACCTAATATTTATTATCAATGAGTCTCTCTCTYTCTCTCTCTCTCTCTCTCTCTCTCTCTCTCTCTCTCTCTCTCTCTYTCTCTCTCTCTCTCTCTCTCTCTCTCTCTCTCTTACTATCAATTCACTTACTTAGATGTCTCTCTATTTATAACAAATAATAAATCTTATTAATTTAACTGAACATTATATTGCCTTATAAATGAACATTAATTCAAAAAATTATATAATAAATATAAAGCTTATGTATTATGCAATCGATAAACATTATAGTTTAAAGACATTTATTATAGTTTATTATTTATGATATTGATATTTAGTTATGATTATCAAATTGTTATATAATTTTTGGATACATTTTTGTAAATTATTATAAATAATAATTACATAAAATATTGTATTAAGAAATAATTATAATAGAAAAAATGATAATATAAAATTTAATTATATTAATTTATTAAATACTATCTTAAAATTGGTGCCTAAAAATTTTTATAAATATACTAATAAAAAATAAAATTTGAAATTGTAATCATGGTCAAATTTATTTTATTTTGAATTTGTATTGTTTTTGTTGCTATTGTTTGATCTTATTTCAAGCAATATATTATACAATAGTATGATATAATGTTATATACTGTATATTATTTAGCAAATTGTATTGTTTTATTTGGATGAACAAACAAACAATCATTTTAGTGGTCAATGAATTGAATTTCTTTGCAACTATTGTTTTAATAGTACAATACATATGTCTATGTAATAAATGTCCATGAGCATATGTCTAAAATACAAATATTGTTATTGGCAAATAAATTATATGTACAGTAAATTTCCACAAATAATTATTATCATTATATAAATTTATGATACATTTTTGGATATTTTACATAATTTATAGTCCCTTTTGGATAACAGATAAATGATAAGAAAGTCCATCAAATATAATATTTAATTAGATTAGTCTTTTTTATGTTAGAAATAATGCTCACAAGCACTGGTATGATAACAACTATAAACGGATACATAAAAAGTGGTAAACACAGCACTCCGGGAGATAATGTGAGGCTGTGCTCAACTAATCTAATAATATTGTATCTTATTATTTATATATGCGTCTAAACACATAACTTTTGTGTAGATGTTTGTACAGTATGTGTATAGCTATAGATATACCGGTATAACTAAATAATTGACACCAACTCTAGTGTTGTCATTAATACTATAAATATCATAACAAATATTGAATAAACATATTGTGTGTTTAATTAATTAAATTCAATCAATCATATGAGCAAATTATATATACAATAGTCATATCGTAAATAAATTCTATAATACAATAACAACAAGTGATACTAAAAGATTTTTTTTTAAATTTATACGATTTTATGAATAATTTATTTGTCACAATCAATTTAATGTTATTTTGATATTAAATTTAAATAACTATTATTATTATTGTACTAAGCTTTATGCAGACTTTTTAAACTATTAATTTAATTAAAATAAAGTAAATAATGAAATAAAGAAACCTTTAAAACATTGATTAGACAACGCTAGCAATAAAATTCATTTTAATTATTAATTAAAAGCTTAAATAATAATATTTTAATGAACTTAAGCAATATATTTATTTAAATATATTAATAAATTTTATTTTTTTATTTCATATAATATGCTAATTAAAATCAACTAAACTTAAAATATATCACAGTTTAATTAATTTTATAAATAAAACAAATCTTATGGACACTAATTTTATTGATAAAATTCTAGCTAATTAAATATTAATATTTTATTAAATATTTAAAAATATATTTTTTATAAATAAGACATATATTTAATAAATAACTACTGGTAACAGCTGTGATAAAAATATATCAACAATATTGACATACATTTACTCTTGAGATTGGATTTATTACTAAGAAATCCGGTAAAACTTGTTTTGTTTTTTATTTATACAAAAATAGATTTCTTGTTAATATTAAGATTAAAGCAGACATTTTACATAATAAACTCTTATTTATATTACATTGATATTTGATAACTATTATATAACTTTTTTCCCCAGAAAATTAAATGTATTTTTCATACAATATTTATTTATAAAATTTCATCATTATATATTATCATTAATATTTTACTACAATAATTATAATAATTATTTATTAAAAACTATTTTTAAACAGTATAAAATTATAAAAATTAGAACTAATTGAAAAAACAGTTTTATATTATTTAAATTTATATAAGTTTTTTTACTAAATATTATATTTTATAACTAAACTAAATTGTCAATACTATTAAATTGTTATTATTTATAATGTTAACAATTAAGAAAATACTTGTAACCATAATTTGTGTGGTAATCATAAGTATGTTAATGTTAAAAGTGTCACCACTTTATGCTGTTATCGTATATTTATCCAATTGTCTAATCGTGCTATTATTATCCTGGTTTGTCGGTCAATGGATTAATCAATTTTTATGGCCAAACAGTATGATAAAGTCCACGGGTAAGGCAGTAATTATAACCGGATGTGACAGTGGTTTTGGCAATGGACTGGCCTACGAGCTTAATTGTCTGGGTTTCTACACCATTGCATGTTGTTTTAATCCCGATGCCGATGGTGTCAAACAATTGCTAAATAGATGTGTATTTCGGGACAAACTATCGATAATACAGTTGGACATCACCGATGAGATACAAATTGATGAAACATATGAAAAAATATTGCGTCTATTGAATAATAATGAACTACAATTGTGGTCAGTGGTCAACAATGCCGGTGTTTTTTCTATTGGATTTGCTGAATGGGGTCAAGGAGTGGACAGTTATCGCAAAGCATTAGATGTTAATGTATTGGGAACTTTACGTATGACTAAAAAATATTTGCCATTATTGCGACAATCAAAGGGACGGGTAATTAATGTGCTTAGTGTGGCCTCTCGTCTAGCCGTTGAAGGTTACGGACCATATTGTGTATCTAAATATGGTTTACTGGGTTTTACTGATTCATTGAGAAGAGAAATGTTACGATTTGGTGTACATGTGGTCAGTATTGAGCCCTCTTGTTATAGGTATGTGCGGATCAAACACTGGATGATATAATGTATGACTTTTAAAATATAAATATTATAATATACAGAACACCTCTTTCTCATATTGAAACTGTGGAGTCAATGATAGACAGTGTGTGGTCACAGACCCCGAGTCACATACGACAGGCATATGGAGACCAAGTATTTGAAAAGTTTAAATCTTCGTACGCTTTTCAAGTCCGCAGAGCTCGAGACCCGATAGAAGTTATCAATACTATGGTTGAAGCCATTAGTGTCGCGCATCCGAAACCCAGATATAGATGTAGCGGACAGTTAGCCGCGTTTATCATGTCTTTAGCCGAACTCTTACCGATTCAAGTATTTGATAGCTTATGGCATCTAATCAACAAATTTGAAGTCATTTCCAAATAAAACTACAAAATATACAAAGTATATAATTTAAAAAAATAAAATAAAATATTTTTATTATATTTGTGTAGTGATATAAGCATTACTTGATTTAATTATTTTATTTTATTTTTTATATAAAATAATTAAACTAATTGTACAATAAATCATTTTGATTAAATATTTTCTAATTATCATGACTATCGTTATTCATATACTATAATATATATACAGTATATCCCTCTTTCGTAATACGATTTATCTCTTAATTTAGTCATTACTTTCAAAGGCAATACTATAAACAATAATAGCAATCAATAGTAGGGTTGATATGAAGATAAATACGGATGAGATTATGATTACAATCCTTTTTCTTTGTTCAAGTCTTTGTTGTTGAAGTTTATTGTCGACAGTTGTATTCACCGATGTATTAGATGTCACCAATAAATCACTTATTGATTCATTTATTGATGTTATGGGTGTTATCAAAGAAATACTAGCATTCAAAACATCTTCAGATGTGGTTAAAGATAAAACATTTTTGTCAAACAATATAACTATTAGTAATAAATACAAGTTTAGACTAAACATTATTTCATAATTATTAGTTATTTAATTAAATTTTTAATTTAATATTATCCGTTATAATATAGATAATGTTAGTCAGTATCATAAATATAATACTTTATATATAAACATTAAATATTAATGATTAATAATGTGCTTAACAATAGATTAATTAAATCCATTAAACATACTGTACTATTATTATTAATAATACATATTTGATAAAATCAATATCTAATACAGTATATAAAAGGACATATATACTGTATATATATATATATATGTTGATTATTATTATTGATTATTGATTTTTATCAAAAAATTAATAATAATAATAATAGTAAATGTACTGGATTTAATTTTTTTATTGATAAACACATAATTTTATAGTTTTTGGTAAATTCACTCTCTTGATTTATTTACCAATAAAATCTATAGTATTTTTTTAAATATCATTAAATTAATAGAATTTAAAATAATTTTTATTATTTTAGTTTTTAGGACTTTTTATTATACTATTATAACTAATTTTTTTTCTTTTAAAATAAGAAAAAATATAATATTTTYCCGGAAATTAGGGGGAATTTCTTTAGAATATTTTCTCCTTTGGAAAGTTACCCAAACTCTTAGTATAATAGATTTTTATAGCAATTTCATAATGTCTTAAATAAATAGTAAAATCTTATAATACTTTTATATTAAAATTTATATACTGAACAAATATTAAAGCATAAAATGCTAAATTAAAAAAATATATGACTTTATTGAGCAAAAAATCAATTTTTTCTTATTATTATTTAAATAATTTTTGAATAAAAAATTAATACTCAATTTATAAAGAATTAGATAAAAAAAATTTATATGAAAATATCATTTCATTTAGTATTAAAAATCATATAAAAATAAATTACATAAAGTTATATAGTATTGTATTTATTTTGTAAATTGAAATAAAATTTATTTAGTTTAGATTTTGATTCTATTGTATAATAGTATAAAATGCAAATAAAAATTTTATTTATCAATTAATTTTGCATATATTTTAAATTGTTGCTTAAAAGTAAAAATTTTTACATAATTAATAATTAAAAATTTAAATTTAGTTAAATAATAAATTATTTTTGATAAATAAATTGTACTTAAATATTGTACTTTATTTATTTTATGGGTTAATAAAAAATTGTAATTCATTTTTTTAAAAACTAATAACATTTTTGTTTACTTAAACACACAAAAAGTTTTGTTGGTCATAAATGTTGTATAATTTCAAATCATTTAATATTTTGCGTGACATTTAGTCTTGAACTCAACTAGTTTTGATGATTAGCTAATTATTGTGGTAATGATCAAACATCAGTATAACCCATATTATTGATATATTAGTTGATAAAATCTTTAAAGCTATTGTTTCTCGTGTCAAATATCTGTTAAGTCCAGTAAACAAACATATAAAAAAATAAAACTTATTTTTCTGTATTATTTTACAATAAAAATTAGAAGTAAGGATATAAAATAGACACTCAATTGGATATTATAAATCATTTTAGCGTTTAAACTCAATTCAAATGATTACTTATATTATTAAGAATATTCTTGAAAAACATCTTTAATTCTTGAGAAACACTAAAAAAATTATAGAATTATAAGAATTTTTTTGTAAAATATAGAAAGTTTTTTATTTAAAAATGTTTAATCAATTCTTACTATTCTTAATCCTATTTACGGCCGGAATAGTACTAAATAAGACTAATTTTGTGCGAACAGAGCTGACCGATACAAACACAACAGTATTACCACCGGTGGCCACAAATGTAACACTTTTTCCGCCGCGACGTTCAACCGATCTGATACTATCGGACGTAAACGATGTGCATATATTACTATTGATGTCACAACAGGCCGAACTTCCCGTGTTTTTCGAAGTGGTCAAACCGGCGCTACAGTTGGCCATCGATCGGGTGAAAGTAATGTACCAAAATCTACGATTCAAACTGATTGCCCGCAAAGATGACAGACCGTGTCATAGCAATGTTGCCGGCGCTGTGGCCGCCGAGGAATTCTATCTGAGACGTGTAGACGTTATCATAGGCCCGGCCTGTAGTATGGCATTAGATCCGGTCGCTCGGATGGCTTCCTATTGGAATATTCCTATTTATACGGCCGGAGGTATTGGTATAGAGTTCTCCCGGAAGAACACCTATACATCGCTTACAAGAATGGCCTTTTCGTTAGGTATTTCTTTAAACATTTTTTTATTATAAATAAYATATAGAAATGTTTAGAAGAAAATAAAATAAATTTTTTTAATTAATTAATTATTTTATAGTGATATATAAAATTATCAATAATTATTAATATAGTTAATTAAAAAAAATTATTAATGAATGCAAAAATAAATTGCTAAAAAATAGTATATGTTTTATATACAGACCGTGTGTCGCACTTTTTGGTTAAAATCATCCGCGAGTACGACTGGCATCACGTGTCGCTCATTGTGGACGAGACAGAGATGACCAACACTTTAATCAAAGCATCCCTTCAATCGGTCTTCAAAGAGATAGAGTTTGGACACGAAATCAATTTGGATATACAAACGTTTACCAGAAGAGACAATACAACTGTTAATTATAATAAAATGTTGAAACAATCGGCTCGTGCGGCCAGAGGTATGTCACTATTTTTATCATTGTCTAAGACAATGGAAAAAATTATATTTTGTAAAAAACAAATATATGATCACCAATACTAGTGTTTATCATACTAACGTTGGGTCATTTTGTACGGGAGATACTATTGGAGGCACACAGCTTAGGTATGGGCAATGGCGAGTACTCATTTTTCAGTATAGAACTGGTCAAAAGTGCCGGAACTAATGGTGACTTTTCATGGTATCAACCGGGAGACAAACGTAATAAAAATGCGCGCGAAATGTTTGAGGCACTTATGATGGTTGCTGTCCGGGTGCCTACCAGTGCTGAATACGCCACTTTCACACATAAAGTAACCCAAAAATCGCTGGAAGAGTTCGGCGGCAAAACGGTCATCGAACAGGTCTAACATTGTTTCAATAAATCCCAGGCCTTAAGTGAATTTGTTTTGAAAATGAATTCAATTTATCAAAAACAAAAAATTATTTAAATTTATTAAGTTTGATAAAACTTTTGTTTTGAAAACAGTTATAAAAATTTTGGATAAAATAACTTTATTAAAATTACAAATAAGTATAAGGCTTACAAAAAAGGGATAGTTGTATATAAAACATAAATCATTAAACTGATTAAAATTTAGTCTCTATTTTTCCCATCAATTTCCTATTGTCTCAAAAAACTCAATTAACTGGTATAGAAAAAATCTGCCTCGTTCAAATTCCAGGTCAACCCCATTGTGGCTGCTTTTTATGACAGCATTTTAATGTTTGCCTGGGCTTACAATAAGACACTTGCCGTCGGTGGAGATCCACGGGATGGCCGAACATTGGCCCGTAGGATATGGGACACGACATTCAAAGATGGTCTAAAATTTATATTATTAAACTATTAAATTTGTTTTGTCAATACTAATGCGCAATAAACTACTGTTTGCCCGATATGTCAGTAGGCCTTACGGGTGATATTTCAATCAACGAGAACGGCGATCGAGAAGCCGATTACACGCTCAACGATTTGGATCCGGAAACAGGTATTATGAGACCAGTGGCCGCATATTTTGGTAGTCGACGCGTGTTTGAGAAGATTCAAGGTGTCGAAATTCATTGGCCGGGCGGCAAAAAAAGTCCTCCGCTTGACATACCCTACTGTGGATTTACTGGCGATGCGCCCCATTGTTTAGTCAAAGGTATAACCCATTGTTATGAAACAATCAAGTTTAAACTGAAAACTTTAACAATTATCATTTTTACTAAACATTAATAAATTATTAATATTAACATTATTAGCATTTATCATATATAAACTGTACTCAATTTGCTATTAATATAAAATTTTAAAATTAAACAACAAAATAATTCCTATATATTAGTATACGAATGCTAAATATTTTTTGAATTAAGTAATAATCTTAATGTTTTTTAACCAATATTATCGATCAAAATTAGTTAGAATTAATAACTTATTATTTTCAACAAATTTATTCAATATATTGAAAAAGTTGAAACAAATTTTTTGATTTCAAACATGTGCATTTTTAATTTTAAAAGATCATATAAAACACTTACTAATATCATATATTAAAATAACACATTTTAATTAACAATATTAGATTAATGTATTGTAAATTACATTTACATTATTTTGCACTTAAATCATTTTACACATTTATCTTTTGAAATTGTTATAAACTTTATTAAAATGATATCATATGTTATTTATACGACAAATTTATACCAAAAATCTTTATAAAATTAAGACTATTAAAGTTTTAACAAAAATTTAATACCAAAGATATAATTTTAATATAAATATATACAGATTCCACTATTGTTACTAAATTATTAATTATGATTTACATAATAATTCAATTTGATTTTGTTTGTCATCACATTAATGATATCATCGATTATATCATTAATGTAATCAAATATCATAAGTGTGTCTTAATTAAGACATCAGATTTATGGTTCTACTGTTCTTCGAAAATCAAAATAATCAGCAAAAAAATTTGGTCATCTCTGAGATGCGGTATTTATTTAATAAACTTTTATATTGTCCACCACCTCCCGTACCCCAAACTATCTAACAGAGCCATTTCCAATATGGATCACTGCAATGATCATATTTATTTGTATGGCAATGGTTGGCATTATAGTAACATTCTTCGTCTCAAAGAAACTTAAATTTGAGTCCGAATTGGCCGACTTGTGGTGGAAAGTCAATTATGACGGTATGTATGACATGACACACAATTTTTGAACAAAATTTATTTATAAAACATATTATTCAATAAAAACAGATATCATATTTCCCGAACACGTTATTAAAAGCCGAGCGAGTGGTCAGAAATCGGTTATGTCGTTAAATTACAGCGACACCGATGGCTTTGTGTCGGGCAAGACATCTACAAATAAGGCGCCGTCAGTCGTCAACTCATTGATTAGTGCCGGCGGTGTTATAGACTCGGTATTGATCGGCACTTATAAGGGTATTAAAGTTGCTGTCAAACCATTGAACATAAATAGGTTAAACCTATCGCGAGAATTGCTCCACGAATTGAAATCTGTATTAAAATTTTATTTTTCTACTCTTTTACTGATTCATATTGTTATGTACAGGTGCTGGACATAGTGTAATCATACAAACAAGTTATACAAATAGTATAAAAGTTATATAATAAACTTGACTTAATTGATTTATAATTATTAGTTAACTTGGCAAATTGTTCCTGGTAATTTAACATTGTATTGTATAGTACAATACATTGTATATACAATGTATAGTAATAATAATAATTGAAAGTTTATTATTAAGATTACAATACAATACTAAATTATCAATTTGTAAAGTTAACTATATTTAAAAATAAATACTAAAGTTTAAGTATTTGTTGATACATTTGTTAATATGTTTGATGTGTAGTCAGTCTTATGATAAATTATTTCGCAAATAATTTACATTAACATAAATTATATAAATTTTTAAAAATAATTATTAATATTAAATATCACAAACAATAGTTTTATATGATATTTAAGTTGTATTTTGAGAGACAACTATTTAATTAATATATGACTAAAATAGGTTTAAACTTTAAACTGTCCAAAGCATCTGTACCTCAAGATATTGTGATTCAATTACTAATTCTGTGACGTTGTTTGAATACCTGTCCCATTACAAGCAGATGCGAGAACTGACTCATGAAAATCTGACCCGATTTGTGGGTCTCTGTCCCGATGAACAAAATTTAGCCCTTCTTAACGAACTATGTATTAGGGGATCGCTTAGGGATCTACTGGAAAACGAAAAGATTAACATTGACTGGACGTTCCGGTATTCAATGATGAATGATATTGTCGAGGGAATGATTTTTCTACACAACAGTCTACTCGACTATCACGGACGGCTCAAGTCGACCAACTGTGTAGTGGACGGCAGGTTTATGGTAAAAATTACCGATTATGGGCTGAGATCACTTCACGAACAGGTGTTTAAGGAAACGGATGTTAATCCTAGAATGCTATTTTGGACGGCACCGGGTATACCAATTAATTCATTATATATTATCATCAATTTATTATTAATTTTAATGTACAGAACATTTACGTGCAAGAGATCCGATAAATACCGGTTCCAAAAAAGGCGATATCTATTCATTTGCTATAATACTACAGGAAATTATCACTCGTTGCGGACCTTTTGAATCACTTGAACGACTGGGTCGACGGCGAGTAATTTACGAACCAAACGAAGTGTTAGATCGCATACGAATGGGAACAGTACCACCGTTTCGACCGGAAGTGGCACCGGACGAGTGCAGTAAAGAACTGTTGAATCTGATGCACGAGTGTTGGACAGAACAGCCAACCTCTCGGCCAGAATTCATTTCCATTAAACAGAAGCTCCGGAAGATATCTCAGGGTATATCCAGTCGTAACTTTTTAGACAATTTGTTGCAACGTATGGAACAGTATTCGGAAAACTTGGAGCGTATTGTCGCCGAAAAGACCGAATCAGTAATTGAAGAAAAACAAAAAACAGAAGAACTTCTCTATCAATTGTTACCCCGATTTGTGGCCGAAGAACTGAGAAAAGGTATTCACGTTCAGCCCGAAAGTTTCGATGAGGTGACCATTTTCTTCTCGGATATTGTCGGCTTTACCTCACTGTCTGCTATATCAACTCCTATGCAAGTGGTATGTCATCAAACTATTTGAGTTTTTTTTAATTGTGTTATTTTGTGATAAATTCATGATTGCTTTCCTATCATTAGGTGGATCTACTTAACGATTTGTACACATGTTTTGATGCCACTATTGAAATATACGACGCCTATAAAGTTGAGACCATTGGTGACGCTTATATGGTGGCATCAGGTTTACCGATAAGGAATGGCAGCGAACACGTGCGAGAAATCGCACGGTTAGCTCTAGACTTGCGTAGGGCTACCAATGCGTTCAAAATTAAACATTTGCCAAAACGTAAACTACAATTGCGTATTGGTTTCCATACCGGTCCCTGTGTTGCTGGTGTGGTCGGCCTTAAAATGCCAAAATATTGTGTATTTGGTAAATATATTAATTTACTAATTAGTCAATTGTTATAATTTTATTATTGTTTTAATTACATTTAGCTAAAATCAGTTTTAATATAATTATTTTTTTTTATTACCTCCTTTACAAAACACAAGTATTTAAATATACAGTAAAATAATATAAAACTGGTGTCAAACATAAATTTTGTGGGATAACTAAATATTGTGTAAATACTAATAAAAATTAATAGCCTAAACAAACAATATTATTATATAATTTTAGATTCTCTGAGCTAATCAACAATTAATACTTAATTTTATTTACTTACTTTTAGATTGTGAACGTAAGTATAAATAAATTGTTATGTATAAAATCAACGATACTACAGTATTAATATTATAATTAAAAAAAGAAAAATAGTATTTAATTATAGTATTTTTAATTTCAAATAAAATTTGTTAAAATTATCTTCTATGTTATTTTTCGATATTTTTTCTATTTTATTTATTTATTTTTTAAATTAGGCGATACTGTAAATACTGCTTCGCGTATGGAAACTAACGGTAACTAAATTAAAAACAATTGAAATTTTGATTGATTTTATAATAAAATTTTATCATATCAGGCGAACCCTTGAAGATACACATATCGGAAAAATCGCATAAATTGTTGGAAAAATATGGCACATTTGTGACAGTTCCCCGGGGAGACATCGAGGTTAAGGTATGACCACTGTTTAGACTGTTGTTGGTATCTGTGTTGATATTATTATTATTATAGTAGAAGTTTAAATACTCTGAATAATATTATTTACATTAGGAAGATATGTATAATTTATATTTGTTTGTCTACTTAGGGAAAGGGTATTATGAGAACCTATTGGTTAGAATCGGAGAAACAAACAAATCATTTGAATCACAATAACATCACTGATAGTAACGAACAGGAGATGAAACTCGAGAGCATTACTGGTGTCGATGGGTTGGCTAATGTTCAGACGTGAACTCATTGATAACATTGGATCCAATTGTTTCATGACTTTGATTAAGTCATATTTATTTTGACAAATTTGTAAGACACTAGTCGTGTGACAAAAAAATGCTATTTTTATCGCTGATACTTATTACTGAGCGATATACTGTATAATTCAATTAATATAATTTTGAATTATAACATACATTTTAAAAGTTTTTTTTAGTATACCTAACTAATTATGTGTCGAGTTTGTGTATGTGTTTATGTACGGTAAGTGTACTGTATATGCCTATGTGTATGTATGTACTGTATTGTATAAGTAATTACTTTTTTTTAGCATACAGTATATGATTATATTTATTTTAAGATTGTGACTCACAATTTGTGATCCTATTTAGATTATATACTGTACTTACTTTATATATTTTGGCATATATTGCATGTTAACTAATGTCTAATTGAGTGATTGAAATTAAACTTGTTGTTACATATGTTGGTGTTTTGCACATATAAACTATTGATAGTACAAATTAAATGACTTAATCTTATTCATATAAATATTTATAAATTTTCAAAGTTATTATGAAATATCTGTTAAATTTGTTATGTTATATATTATTAGACATTTAACCAAAAGTTATAATAATAATATACTTATTACTTGCTAACCTCACAAATTATATTTAATTTAATTAAAAAAAATAAGTTATACCAAATATTTCAAAATTATGTTATGATATACATTGTTAGTATAGATGTATTTGATATATAATTAATATTGTTATTACACTATTTACACTATACCAGATTAATTAATAATGTTACTGGCATAGTTATTAAATATTGAATAAATATATGACACTATAATTTGTGTTATAATAGCAATAATATGTTGTATGTTAATTTTAACCCATATACATTATGCATTAGCATTAAATAAATATGCTAATTGTAGAAATTACATTTTGTCACAATATTTGGAAAAATAAAATATTAGTTTGATTAACAATTTATCATTTAAGTAAAAGCAAATGTCATTATATTAAGTTTAATGATTTTTATTAATTTTATAAAACTAAAGTGTGATAATATAGTAAATATTAGCATAATTTTAGATAATAGAACATCACTTCAAATATTAATAAAATACTTTTACAACATTTTATTTGAGATTTAATTTTATAATTATCATTATTTTTTGTAATTATCATTTTAAATATAATCATTTCTATTATTTCAAGAAAATTGTATATTTAATAGTAAGGGGCTGATCACATATTACGTTCGCAATTTTTAAGAAATCTAAACCTCCCCATCCCCTATGTTCGCAATTGTTCGCATGTAGTCATTATAAAAAATTACTTTCACGTGTCAATGACCTCTAACCCCCACTAAAAAATAAAATATCTAAATGCAACGTTCTTAAGATCATTGCCCATCTCTTCCCCCTCGTTCGCAAAAGTTCGCTTTGGCCGACCCCACTCCCCTCAAATGCGAACGTAATATGTGAATTACCCCTAATACAATTTTTATAATTTTGGTTTGGAAATATTTTTATTTTACTTAACAATTAATAATATATTTTTAAATTATCTAATATGAGTATTACTATCTAAGTTTAAGTATAAAAGATTATAATAATACTTACAATGACTTTATGCTATTATACCACGATTTATACAGTAATTTCTATAATAATAATAAGTAAATTTTATAGTATTTTTATTTACAGTGTATTGAAAACATAATCTTTATAATTGATTTTATTGTTTTCACTTATAATTATGTTCATTACTTTGACGATTAGTTTATATATTAATAATAACCATTATTTTTTATAATGATTCAGATATATATTATAAATTATACTGATAAATTAAATTATAATAATTATATATAAATTTATGATATAAGTATTATACCGTATAATACTTTATATACTGTATACACTAAATTAGATAGGAGTAGGCAATAATGTTATACTGTATATAAAGTTGTATATATAATAATTAATTTTCATCATTTCAATCTTATTTACTTTATTACTTATGTTAAATAAAATAAATGTGTTTAAATAATAATTTTTTATTTTTATTGACGCATTACAAAAGTAATGTAACACTTATGTTACATATTAAGCAGGGTTGCGATCGGGGTCGCAGTGGACGGGTGGGGGTAAGGCTGGATTACATAATTTATTTCAACACAATATTATTTATATACTGTACCTTGGACAGAGTTTTAAGAGCAAATTTTTCAATATTTTAATTAATATATTATATATTAACTAATTTATGTTTTTCTAACTTAGTTACATCAAGTAAAATAGTTAAAATTTATTTAAATATAACATTATTTTAATAAAAAACATGTTACTAAAATCTTATAAAGAACTATATGTATAAAGAGAATTATGTTCTTGGTAGAATATTATTTTTATATAATTAATATAATAATAATAAATTAAACTGTGAATATTACTGTTTTACAGATGAAAAAACTAAAAAATTATAAAATTTAATTTGAATTAATTTTTATTATTTATATTTTATTAAAAATATTCAACGTAAAAATTAAAAATGAACTATTTGATTAGAATGATTATTTTATTTTAAGTAGAGTATGATTTTAAAGTAATAATAATAATAATAATTAGTATAACTATAATTATATTAGAATACTCATTAATTATTAATGCAAAACTAGTTTTTTATTTTAAAAATTTAAGTTAAGTTTAAATAAATTTATAAATTTTCTAATAATAAATGAATTTATTGTGAATATTTTCTTATTTTCCTTCGAAGTTTCTCGCATTTAGATGGGAATTTTCGGGAACTTTGGGAATTTCCTCATGACACCTTTCTTGATTTTTAAATTTAAAAAAATCCATTTAAAAATACAATAAAACTCAATACCCCACTCAGTAATACTCAAGATTTTTGGTAGTTAATCCCCCTCCCCTCCCCTTCATCTTCAGTATCCCCCGTAGACCAAAAAACTTGCGCAACTCTGATATTAAGCAATATTTATAAATTATTTTATTGWCAAACTATGGCAATAATCTATATTATCTTATAAATATATGATACATAAAATAAATATTGATATATGAAATGAAATAAAACACTGATTTTTGATATACTATATAAAATAAAATAATTGAAAAAAAAAATTTTATATATCAAATATTACGTTAACATTGTTTTTAAAAAGTTTCAAATATATAATTTGTGGCTTATTGTCAAAATGAATATTACAAATATAATATTCAATATTTAAAATAAAATTAATTTGATTTGTATTATAATCAACTTTTATTTTAATGAAAAATATATTTTATATTTACTAAAACTTAATAATAGTATATAATTAGTGTAAATGTAAGTGACAGTGCAAAATACTTTCATAATTATTATAAATACTTAATCAATACAATACTATTAATTAAATTCTTAAATAATTATTTTAATACTTTTGACTGTATTGTATGAATAAATAAGTTTTAATTAGTTATTAAATATTATTTGTTATTAATAAGTAAGTTGAATATTGATTTTATTAGCTGTAATTTAATAACTAACATACAGTATATAAGTATATGTAGTATTTGATAGATAGAGTACAAGTGTTAATATCTGTATTATACTATATTTTGTTTTTGTTGAATTCATGTATTGTACAATAGTATGCTTAATATTTAATTAAATATTATGCTATAAATATTATTAAATTTATAGTGTATATCAATTTGATTTCAGCACTTTACAAAAAAACACAATAAATCAATAACTTGTAACTGGTGCAACATAACAATTTATGAAATAATAATAATAATAATATCAATAATACTGTTAGATCGATAAAAATTATACAGTATTCAAATGGTATTTTGTATGCAAAATTAATTGAAATATTACATATAAATTTATATTTAAAAAAATAATATAAAATATCAGTAACTGTGAATCAACAAAAAAAATATCATTAATGACAGTCAACTTAAATGTTACAATAATTTGAATTGAGTGCAACTTATAATAAAATATTTAAAAATTATAATACACTTTATTTAATACATTTATAAATTAAAATTGTATTATAGTTTTTTTTATATTATTATAACCGTTATATTATTATTACCGGTAAATACAACAAATGTTTAACAACTGAACAATAGGATCGTAAACATGAGTTAACACCAGAATAATTGGGTTTAGTGTCAAATATGTAATATTTGATACATTTTGTGTTTCCTCTCAATTATCTGATATATTAATTGTTGTATTGTTGAAAGTATTATTTTTTGTTGTTGAAAAATATGGACTATTGTGAATTGACCAAAAAAATAAAAAACATTAACATATTTAAAATTAACTACAATGTAAATACTATTTCTAATTTGATTGGTTAATTACCCCTGGTCAACAATACGAAAACTTAACATAAGTTTAATTGTATTAATATTAAACACTTTTGGGATCAAATTTGAAGAGCTGTTGAAATATGACTTACAATAACTACTGTGGACTCAAACTAGTGGTCAAATATGCTATCATTGCTATTATTGTGTTAATATTGGCATCAATTTTAATTACATCAAATATTGATAATTATTATTTGTGGCCAAATACCAGACCTATTAAATATCAGGTGATAAATGATGTTCAGTACAGTAGTGTCAATATTGGTGATGACATCCCTATTGATAATGCCATCAAAAGAGTCGATATTCAACTTAAAGAACTGTTGTTCAGCAATGATGGCAAACGTCGACCAAATTCGAGGCTTATATCGGCCGAAGAAATGTATAAAATGACAAACATTACAATCGACAAGAAGTCATGCAGTGATCAGTTGGGCAGAGATCTGCTTGTGTTAGTGTTTGTGTTCACACGGGTTGATGCCTTCAGCCTAAGACAAACCATACGTCAGACGTGGGCTCTGGACTTGAAACGAGATAACAGAAGTCAACTATATTTTGCTATCGGTCTCAATGAAGATCCAAAAGTACAAGAAAAAGTCATACAAGAGGACAACCAGTTCAACGATATCATACAATTTGGATACTATGAACACTATTACAAATGTACGGTAAAGGCAACGGCATTGTTACGGTGGACAGCCCTAAGGTGTCCGTACGTTAAATATTTTCTCAAAGTGGACGACGACTCCTATGTTATGGCAGACAATCTAATGAAATATTGTGATGAAAATGATGACAATTCAATAATTGGTTTTCTGTGGACCAATGTATTTGTCAAAAGGAATTCACGCGATAAGTGGTTCATTAGTTCCGATGACTACCAGAGCTCTACTTATCCCGATTATATTAGTGGCCCATATTTGATACCTGGCCGATATATGCTGCCAATGTATGAGACAGCAGTTGCACATTACATGCCAGCGCTGCCCTTTGAGGACGTTTATGTGGCCGGACAACTGGCCAAACATTTGAATATAACACGTAAACGATGGCAATCTCTTGTATATCTGACAGATCCTATCAATGTTAAAAAGATTGACTTTTGTCAGATTGATGTCACCATATTTTGGCAACAGTTTAATAGTGATTTGATGTATCAATTTTGGAAACAATACCATAAATTAATCAAATATTGTTATTATAATAATTGAATTCTCAAATGTGTTTTTTGTATATAAAATAAATTAATTTTTTAGATATTTTATAAAAAATGATTATTTAATTTTAATATTTATATTTATAGGGTTTATTTATAAAAAATATTAATTTTTTGAATGTAAGTTTGTATTTTTAAGATAAGTTAAATCTAAAACGAATAAATATTTTTATAATATCTTTATTTAAAAAAATGATTTATTATAGTTTCTTTTTTTATTAATATGTTTAATATGATATTTAATGGATATATTATAATTATGAGATTAAAAATATGTTTATAATAAAACTTTTATCATTTACCTCAAATTTTTTTATATATCACGAAATTCACAAAAATTGTTTATATACGAAATTTGATATAAAATTAACAAATAAAAAATAATATAAACTAATTATCATAACTAATATAACATAAATTTATTTATAATAAAAGTTTTGAGCAATTATTTATATTCTAATAATTTATTTTGAGATGATTTTGAATTGCTAGTAACTATTTGTTATATATAATTATAATATAATTGTAATATATTATTGTATTAAGAAAAATCAATATGACTAATAATAATAATAATATCAATGATAATCAACTTAAAGTAATAACATTTATTGTAATATTGTTTTTAGCATTATATTTAATATTACAAATTAATTTGAATAAGTTTGACACTGAAATGGTTATCCATAAGTTTGGCCAATTGATGCTTAGATATCATCATAATAGTGACTATTTGACAATAAATGAGATCTGGAATAATGTCAAACATGTGGACAATCAGCTGAAAAGTTTGTCGAAAATTGATGACAATGTTGTTGCCAACAAATCTCGTTTTATATCAGCTCAACAAATGTTATCAATTGATAACATTACTATCAATAAGAAACAATGCAATCAATTGTATGGAAAGGATCTGCTATTAGTCGTAATGGTGTTCACGAGAGTCAACGCCTTTTCAAGACGTAAGACAATCCGAGAGACTTGGGCTCAGGACATGAGGTCAGACAACAGAACTCGTGTGTACTTCGCTATAGCTCACGACGAAAAACAGGAGATCCAGGAAAAAGTCATACTTGAAGACAATGAGTTCAATGATATAATACAATTTGGTTATAATGAAGATTACTTTAAATGTACAATTAAGTCAATAGGATTGTTGCGATGGACAGCCATTAATTGTCCGTTTGTCAAGTATATGATGAAATTAGATGACGACTCCTTTATTATCAGTGATAATTTGATGAAATATGTTGAGACCAGTTATGGTAACTCTATTATCGGTCATTTATGGACCAATGTTATGGTCAAACGTAATCCACTTAGCAAATGGTATCTGAGTTATGAAGAGACACCTAACAGTAGATTTCCCGATTTCATTGGTGGTCCCAGTTTGATACCCGGTTGCTATTGTCTTGCTTTGTATGAGACAACAATTACACAGTTTATGCCGGCCCTACCATTTGAAGAYGTACTCATTACTGGACTGGTGGCCAACCATTTAAACATTAAAAGAGAAGATCTAATATCTGAACTATTTATTGGACCGGAATATGACGTCAATAGTGTAGATATTTGTCAATATCAACAAATGGCAGTAATTTGGCAGCGATTGACTGATAAAATCATCAGAAGATTCTGGCAAATTTCACGTAATTTCTTATTTAACTGTTACTACAGTGTAATATAAACATATGGTTATATATATTTTAATTGATTTTTAATTTTTAGTAAATGAAAAAACTAATATTTAAAAACAATCTCAGATCGTGAAAATACATAATAAAACTTAAATTATTTTTGTAGTTTAATTCAGAAAAAAACTATTTAATTTAATTAACTTTTATTTAAATTAATAATAATTATTTAAATAATAAACAATATATTTTCTTTTATATTATATATGTAATAGCCTTATTTTTAAATAATTAAAATAAAATAAAACTATTGTAAGACTATATGTAAAACTATATATTTAAATAAATCGTTAAAGAGAAAGGTAAGTTTATAAATATTGCAGTTTTATATATGTACAGTAGGGTCGGGATATGGTTTTTTATAAAGGTTGTGTATTTGCCAAACAATAACATTTACAGTATTAAGTAAACTAAATATGAAATTTATAAATTATAATCAGACAAACAAAATGATCAAATTTAGTATATTTATTAATAATAGTCTTATTATATGAGTAGATTTTACACTATATTATATTAATATATAGAGATTTATATAGTTAATAGAATATAATTAAAATTGACAATAACTTATTGTTAATAATCATGACATTGAAATATCAAGTTTTTTTTGCTAATTTTATATTTAGATTTGAAAAACTTATATTTATTTAGTCTGTAGTTTGTTGTATTCAATGCTAACTAATCTTTAAAGCTATAAACATTAGTTTATTAAAATAGTAATACTAAAGTATAATAAACTATTAATAGATTATAATTAACTAGAAATTTCAAATAATAAACCTAAGTTTACATTATATTGAAATATTAAATGTTTGTTAGAATATTAAATTGTTAAATAATTAAGTAATTAAACATATATTTCATGTTTTGATGTGAATAACTTTTTTGTAACATTTGTCTGATTATAATTGTTTTCTGTTTATAAAAGTGATATATCATATACAATATGACTATCCATAATATCTAACTAAAAATGTTTTAAAACAGTACTTCAAATATGTTTAATATATAAAATTGTGTCATTAATACATGATAATTAGTATTTTTAAACATATTTATGGCTAAATAATAAATTATAATAAATTAATTTTAATGTTGTGGTATAAATAATATTTAATGTTTAACATAAAGATTTATAATATTTTGATACAATATTTTGTATTATTAATAAAAAAAAATATTTACCAATAATTATTACAAATTATTTACAAATCATAAAAGCTACAAATGTTATGTTTGTTTAACAAAAATATGATACATCATAATATAAATATAAAAACTGAATCCTAATATGATAAACATAATAAAAATTATATACAAATAATATAATTTATATGTCTAGATATACTGTATGTAAAACATATACCTTTATATGGATATATTCTTTTATATTGAATAAAATAACTATATTACATAGTACAGTACAGTATGTATTTTATAATTATGTTTATAAACTTTTTTTTATAAAACGTTTGGTTTTTTAAAAAAAAATTTGACTATAATTTTTATTGTGATAACACAATGTCAGCTCAATCATTGACATCGCTGTTATTATTGATGTCCAGTATAATAGTTGAGCGCCAGTATGAATACGACAAATTAGTTAAGAGAGAAACAATTAAATCATACTATGATTACGTGATTGTGGGCGCCGGTAGTGCTGGTTCTGTAGTGGCCTCTAGACTGTCGGAAAAACAGTCAAATGGGGTACTACTGTTGGAAGCGGGAGATCGGGAGACAATTGTATCGACGATGCCATCACAGAGCGATTCATTAAAAGACACACCAATGGATTGGAACTATACTATTGTTCCGCAAAAGTTTTCCTGTTTTGGATTAAACAACCGGTCAATGAAATGGCCGCGCGGTCGGGCACTCGGAGGTACGTCGGCTATCAATAGAATGGTAAGTCTTCTACATTTAACAATTAAAATTTATATGAGAACTCTATTATTAATTTTATTATGATTTATGACAAATATTATATTAACAAAATATAATTCATAGTAAAGATAATATGATATTGAATATATTGTATTTAAACATTTTATACGCATGTAATGTATATTTTTAGTATTACGATATAATATATTAATTAATATGTCAAGTAATAGTACAATCATTGAATAAAACAATTAAGTGATGATTAGAAATAAAATTATAATTTATTTAATACATAGGCATACTTGCGAGGAAACCCTAAAGATTTCGATAATTGGGTTCATGAGTCCGGAGCCGATGGCTGGCAGTGGTCACAAGTATTCAAATATTTCTTACGAAGTGAGAAACAAATGGATCCATTGCTAGCATCAAATGGATATCACGCGACTACAGGACCATTGGCTGTCTCTACACCACCAGTAGTCGATGTAATGACAAGACAATGGGTCATTGCGTCCAACACTTTGGGTTATCCTATCATTGACTTAAATGGCGCTCATAGACGAGGAACAGCTATAACACAGCGAAATATATTGTATGGTAGACGACAGTCATCTGCGGAGGCATATCTGCTAACAAACTGTTGGCGCAAAAATCTACACATTTTGGCCAACACTTTGGTTACAAAAGTGCTGTTCAATGACAAGAAACAGGCCATTGGTGTCGAGTTTACAAAAAATGGAATCAAACAACAAGTTTATGCTAAGAAAGAGGTTATTTTATCGGCCGGTGTTATCGGTTCGGCACAACTACTTTTACTGTCCGGTGTCGGTCCGAAAAAGCATTTACAAGATCTAAATATACCGATTATTGCRAACCTTCCKGTTGGCCATAATCTTCACGATCAGCCGCGCGTATATGGCATTCAATTTTTAACAAACTCTACTTTTACTAATCAAGCGATAACTATAGAATCGTTAACCAATTATTTTATCAACGGTTCGGGACCGTTGACACAATCCGAGTACTCGACAACTATATACCAGAGCTCATATGTTCACCAAACTGATTGGCCAGACGTACAGCTAGGTTTAATACCCTCTAGTCCGGCAACCAGGCGTACAAGTGGTCAGTCGACGGGTATTCGAGATGACATATGGGATGTATTTTACAAACCGTACACAAATAAAACTCAATTTAGTATTTCGGTAATATTGTTGCGACCGAAAAGTCGCGGTTCATTGCGACTCAAATCATCTAATCCTTCAGATAAACCATTACTTGATCCCAATTATTTTGCCGACAGTCAAGACTTGTATACTATTGCCGAGGGTATGCAAGAAGCCTATAGAATAGCACTTTCGCCTTCAATGGCACCGTTTGATGTGAAACCATACCAAACTATAGTTCCTGGATGTGAATCTGATCATAACGGCAACTTTATGCGTCCATCACTTGATTACTTTAGATGTTTGGCCCGATCATTGACCTCATCGGCAGCCCATATGGTGGGCACGTGCAAAATGGGCGCTATTAGCGACTCTTCGGCAGTGGTTGATCCGAAACTACGAGTGAAAGGTATCTCCAATTTGCGAGTAATCGATGGATCAATAATGCCATCGGTAGTGTCGGCAAATACCCACGCGGCCATTGTTATGATTGGCGAATACGGCGCTGAAATTGTACTTAAATCATCAAAATAAAATACATGTGCACTACTGTACATTGTGTAGTCAATGATAAAAATTAGCTGTCCTTGATCATTTTTGTTTAATATGTATAAATTTATATTAATTCATTGTTTAAATATTTTTGTATAAAAACTTTTATATCTTTTTATATTTGAAATAATAATAATATTATAGATATTATTAAAATTCAAGTCATAATCATAAAAAGCTTTATACTAAAAGACAGTTTTCATTTGAAAAATCCTTGTACTTTATATATAATATATTACGGGATTCCCAGTTTGCAATATCCTTACATAATAATAATAGTCTCCATTATTATTATAAGTAAATAAAAGTTTTTTATTAACAACAATAATGCTTTATTAAAACTTAATATAATATTAAACAATGTCAGACACATAATAAATATATTTTTCCAATCAATTTGGATTAGCATTTTCAATAGATATTTGTAATTTATTTAATGCATTTTTTCTAATAAATACTTGTATTAGCTATTTTGTATAAAATATCATTTTTTTTACTATACTGTACGCATACAAACATTTAATAAAATATGATTGTATATAAAAAAACTTATTTATATTTAATTTTATCTAATTTACTTATTTTATGGTTTGATATATCAATATTATGTTTGCAAAGCGATAGTCGAGTAGTATATCCCGACGACGATGATAGTGAACGACCCAACCAACCGATTCGTAATACTAGTGCTTCGGTCAGTCCTTCAAACAGTGATCAATGCAAACAACAGGATTGTCACACACCAAACGTATGTTATTTATACTTAGATGAAGCACATGTAGGTCAGTGCGTCCGTAGTAATGGTGCTAAAGGAGTTTGCTGTGAGCCAGACGTCAAAATAATTGGAAAAGATTTTGAATGTAACAAAAAATTATTTATTATATTATTAATATTATTAATATATATTAATTTATTATATTAATCTTTCTTTTTTTTGTATAATACCGGTAATTGTTAACAATAAATACAATATTTGTTTAGTGGAAATCCGTGTTCCCAAAGATGTTATACAAAGTCGACGATTCAGACCTGAAGACAGGTCATCCATCACTTCAAACGAAATAAATAGCGCCCAAAAGTTGGCCATAATTTTTATGAACAAACAGGACAGACTTGAAATTGCACTCAAAAATGATGACCTGTTGGCCAAACGCGGTTCGGGAGAGTTCGCGCACCAAAACTTTTTTGGAGCAAATCCGGTGGCTATATCACTGGCCAGAGATGCGACCATTGCGTTACATACGGCTATAGAATTATCCAAAGAGTAAACTTATTTTTTAAATAAAAATTTTATGACATTAATAGTAATTAAATGATATTTTATAGAAAAGGCTTTAATGTCGGCCAATCAAGACGTCTATTACCTGGTATTGATCTGAGAAGCACTCGTATGAAAACATTTTGTCCACAAGAGCCGCGTTGTTTATCTACTAAATACCGGAGACCCGATGGCAGCTGTAATAATAGAAGAAATAGACAGTGGGGTATGTTTTTAAGTAAAAATTTTACAGTATATACAGTACAATAATATACCGGTAATTTAAATTTATTTAATTTAAAAATGGTTTCTAATATTATCCTTTTATCATTTTAAAGGCAAATCGATGATCACATTTGAAAGATTACTCGAAGCTGACTATTCTGATGGCATAAATGATCCGCGAGTTTCAGTCGATGGCAATTCACTGCCCAGTGCTCGGGATGTGTCAATTGCATTGGCACCCGACCGAAATCAACCYAACCGACAATACACTTTAATGGTTATGCAATTGGGACAGTTTATCGATCACGATCTCACACATACGGCTAGCACTAGAAGTATGACTGACTGATCTGTTAAACTAAAATTAATAATTGAATATGAATTTAATAAAACATATATTAATATAATACCAGCAAATGATAACTTTGCTTTGCGTTGTTGTGGTGAGGAGTTCCGTCGTAATCCCCAATTGGTTCATCCGTCTTGTTTCCCGATAATTGTGTCGCCAAACGACCCGTTTTACTCCAACTTTGGTCAAACATGTATGAACTTTGTACGGTCAGCGCCAGCCATACGGCCTAACTGTCAAATGGGTCCACGCGAACAACTTAATCAATTGACCGCATATTTGGACGCCAGCAATATATATGGGTATGTTATACGTTATATTATAGGATACAGTGCAGAAAAATTGTAGGCTTGCTATCATACATATTTATAAATATAAATTTATGAATAAATTAGATCTACAGAGCAAACAGCCCGATCTTTACGAAGCCTACGCAATGGTCGGCTTAGGGTATCATTAGTTAATAGGCGCCAGTTTTTACCGTTTGACAACAATACAAACTTCTGTGCGATACCACAACAGCAACAGTTACAATGTTTTGTTGCCGGAGATATGCGGGTCAATGAACAGACAGAACTGACAGTTATGCACACCGTATGGATGCGCGAACATAACCGAGTGGCCGAAGTACTGTCGGAACTGAATCCCGGATGGAGTGATGAGATCATCTATCAGGAGGCCAAACGTGTAGTAACAGCTGAGTTTCAGCACATCATATTCAATGAGTTTTTGCCAATAATTATTGGTCGGCCAGCTATGCGTGCCTTTAGACTGTTGCTTAAGAGGAACGACTATAGCAATACATACTCCGAAGATATTAACGCCGGTATTACCTCCAGTTTTGCGACAGCAGCCTTTAGATTGCATACTTTGATTGAGGGAAACATACGGCTTATTAATGATAACAATCGACAGGTCGATAGGGTTGACCTTAGGACACAATTCAATAATCCGCAAATTTTGTATAAACAGCGAGCATTGGATCTCATGATTAACGGACTCACTGGTCAACCAATACAACACGGTATTCATTGATACAAAAAATATATGTCAATCAAATTATTATATTATTATCATAAATAGGAGATAATTTTTTTACGAGTGAAGTAACCAATCATTTGTTTGAACCAATTGGACAGCCATTYGGTATGGATTTGATTTCRCTAAATATTCAAAGAGGTTGGTATAGTTTCTTAAGTTATTATATGAATTACTTAGAAAAAAATTATTGCACATATAGGCCGTGATCATGGATTGCCTTCATATAACCGTTTCCGTCAAGTGTGTGGTTTACGGGCAATAAGAAATTTTGGCGACTTGTCCTCAGTAATGAACCAAAATGCGGTTCAAGCCATAAATCAAGTGTATCGACACGTGGATGACATCGATCTGTTTATAGGCGGTGTGTCCGAGAATCCTATCAACGGTGGTCTGGTTGGACCTACGTTTGCCTGTATTATAGCCGAACAGTTTAGACGACTCAAAATGGGTGACCGATTCTGGTTTGAAAACGGAGGACTCGAGTCATCATTTAACGAGATACAGCTCCGGGAGATWAAAAAATCCAGTTTATCCCGTATTCTGTGCGACAACAGTGACATACGATTTATGCAACCGTTGGCTTTAGTTCAGACATTTGATTGGTTTGTTATTTAGTTATTTACACAATATTTCAATAATGATTTCTAGTTAACTAATTTGATATTATATTAACAATAAAATAAATGTTGTGCACAGGAATCCCAAACTTGAGTGCAGAGGCAATGATATACCAACAGTTGATCTAACATTTTGGCGCAATGAGCCCGTCTGGACATAATTATATAGTAGTCAGAGATTAATCATTTAATGTTTGCAAATATAACAATGTTTTCAATAAATATTACAACAAAAATTGCTTTAATCTAAAATTATATTTTTGCTATTATTTGTCAAATTGACTCTAATTTCTTATTACTAGTGAATGAAAATATATTTAATTAAATAAATAAATTTTAATTAAATATTATATACATTTTTTAAAATAAAAATACATACAAAATATTTAATTAAATATTTAGCATTTTTCGTAAATATAATAAAATATTAATACATAAAACTGTAAATATATGCATATCAATAGTGCTGGTCATCAAAAATCATTGAAAAATTGGAGATTAAAACAAGTGTCAGTACAAGAATCACTACTAACACCAAAAAAATGATTTCAATAGTGATTTGTGTAAACTGTTGGTGACATTGAATATACCGTTTCAAAAAATGATAATCAAAAATAAATATTTAAATAAATATTTTGGTATTTTTTAGCAAATATTTTATTGAATATTTTCAGTTTTTAAATAAATATTTTTTAATGCACTACTTATTACAGTAATCTATAAATTTGAATTCAATATTATGAGCTTAGATTACATCACCGGTAATCAACAAATTATCGTAAAAGTTTATAACATTAATATTAGAATTAGTAATAATTATCAATATTTATTCATTGATTAAACAATTATTTTATTTTTTAATAGGTTAATATTTTTATTTAAAATCTATTATTATTAATATTTAAATTATTATTTATGTATTTTTAATCTAGTTTAAAATATTAATGTAAATGAATTCAACAAATAATAAAATAATTAATATCATAATAAATTTAAAAAATACATTTGTAAATAACATATATTTTTAGAAAAATAAATTGAAAATATCAAGTAATATAAGCACAGATACACCGGCGCCCAAACCGACCGCCACAGAAACCTTGGCGTCTCCTATAGAAATGACAGTAACGGTTACACTGGTAGTCTTGATACGGACATCCCATCCGAGAATCGTAACCCAAAAATTGACCGAAAACTATAATTTTAAAAATTAATTTTATATTTTTAAAAATATTTATCTAATTGTTTGATTTAAGAAAAATTTCAACTCTTACTATAATTTGTATTTAAAAATAATATAAAAATAACACAAAAAATTAATTTATTATTATTCATACTTTTTTCAAATTTTTGAATTGAATTGAATTTTAGTGATCATTACTTGCAATTCATTTAATGTTCAAATAATAATTTTTAAAATTAAATATATATATACACTGTATATTATACAGTATATACTATATATCTATACTAATAATATAATGATATTATACTTAAAATATCACAACAAATTTGTTCAGTTGTTTGTTTTGTAATATAACATTGAAAATATTTTTGTCAAATAAATTTAAACTAAAAAAATTAATCTCAACTTTAACCAGTTGAGAATGCTAGAAAGCATTTCCACACGAATTCCTAATCATAATTAAAAATTAAATTCAGTATGATAAAATAAAATCAACTATAGTTATGTAGAGTATCAAACGATTTAGTATTACAAAATAAACTACTATTTTCCTAAAAAATAAACTTAAAAACGAAAAAAATAAAAAATCAATATTCAAAAAAATTCAAAAAAATTCAAAAAAAAATTCAAAATTTTTTTAATTAATTTTTGGACACCATTTTCTTCAATTTCCTAAAAAATAAACAAAAAAGAAAAAAAAACAAAAAAAAATCAAAAAAAATTTGTAGCGGATAGTGGATTCGAACCTATGTTCTCGTGGGACAGACAGACCGACAGACCGACTTATAGAATACATATACGTATTCTTTTCAGGAATTCGTGACAAGTAAAGTTCGACACATATTATGCATCAGAGGTCAAACCAAACTACAAGTAAAGTTCGACACATATTATTCATCAAAGTTCATGGAAAACTACAAAAAATGTATGACACTTACTGTGAATTCAGAGTTCATGGAAAAATACAAGAAAATTACGACAATTACTATGACATCAAAGTTCATGGAAAATTACTATAAACGTACTACACCTGCTATTACGTCAGAGTTTATGGAAAAGTACTAGCAAGATATTATTTTTTATTACTCAATTTTTAAGTTTTCACATAATTCTATACTAATTAATTTAATAAAATTGTTCATTTTAAACAAGTACTTTTTTAATTTATTTAACATTATTATTTAAAATAAACATTTAAAATATATGAAATTTACTTACTTTTTTAATTTTAATTAGTAATTTACACAAATCTAAACTTAAAAATTTTAACACAATTTTCTCTATGTTCTTGATAAAATAAACTTTAAAAAAATTCAAAAAAAAAATTTAAAAAAAAATTCAAAAAAAAATTTAAAAAAAAATTCAAAAAAAAAATTTTAAAAAAAATTCAAAAAAAAATTTTAAAAAAAATTCAAAAAAAGTTTTAAAATTTTTTTATTATTAATTATTGGACACCATTTTGTTTTTTTTTGCTAAAAAATAAACTTAATAAATAAAAAAAATAAAAAAAAACAAAAAAAAACAAAAAAATGCGTAGCTGAGCCTGGATTCGAATGGGACAGACAGACCGACAGACAGACCGACTTATAGAATTCATATACGTATTCCTTTCAGGAATTCGTGAAAATACAAAACAATACTATTTAATTGCTAATCTATAGTATCAATAGAGTTTTGAATAAACAATTACTGATTAAAATTGTTTCTAAATTTAGTTCAAGAGTACAATTGATTTTTTTATATTGTTTACTAACTTATTATTTATAGTATAACAAGTAATTTATAGAATACTATTGTAAATAATATTTACTCAACTAATCTAACAATATGTTTATTTAAAAAAAATCAAATTTGATTTATATTATATTTAGAAAATTATTAATTAAATGAATTTTTATATTTATTAAATTAGTTAAAATTAAAACAAAACAATATTAACTGTTAATTTGACTATAATTACTGAGAATTATTAAAAATATTATTAGTAAATACTATTAAAATTAAAAAAAAAGTTTGTATGAATTATGTCAGAAGTGGGGTTCGAACCCACGCCCTCAATCGAGGACCAGAACTTAAGTCTGGCGCCTTAGACCACTCGGCCATTCTGACTGCGCGATTGGATGTGCACTGCGCTCCGTTAGATTACATTACATACCTTTAATATTGAGAAAAACATATATAATAAAACACTATTATTATTCACAGCAGATGCCGGTATACAAAGTTTTCAATTTACAAAACCAGTTAAGTTATACTGTACTACAATAATGTAGCAAAAATTAATAGATTAATTCTGTACTGTTATATACAGTAAAATTGTGCATTTTTCCAATATTCACATGTATTGTATGTACAGTTTGTCAATTATAAATGAAACCATAGTATTACCAAACTGTTGGTTAAATTTGGTCACACACTTGATATTTATAGCACAGAAACTTAACTAAAACCGATTTCCTAATGATTTTGTTAGTTATCTAAAGATCACAAGATTAGAGAGAGAAAGTCGAGACACAACAGAGTGAAAGAAAGAAAGAAAGAAAGAAAGAGAGAGAGAGAGAGAGAGAGAGATAATGTTCACAAAAATTAGCAAAAAATTTAATTAATTTCATTAAATAAATAATAAATAAAATAAATCTTTTTTTTTGTTTCTTAGCTTTGCTTCTTGTCTTAAATGTCGTAAACAATGCATAAAATAAACAAAAGACAAAATGTGAGACACAATAGTGTCTGACAGTGATAACAGTGCCGTATATATACCGGCTAATGGTTTGTCGGCTCATTACAAGTCAACTGCCATTAATTATTGTTAGACTATTTAATGAGATCTTACCGTAAAATTAAATAAATAATTAATTTTATTAAACATTTAAGATTTGTTTGATATCTTTTTTCTTGAACACTATTAGCACTATTATCAACAATTAGCTGTCTCTGTCAATGTATCGAAAAATTAATCTAATAATACTTTAATTAAAAAATAGGTGATTAACTAATGTTAAATAAAATTTAAATTAATTTTACAAAATAAAATCAATTTGTTTTATGAATTTTTAAGGAAACCATTATTTATTCGTTTAATTTTTGGTTAATTGAGATTTTTTTATTATAATACTATAACTCTAGTATTATTTTTATTGTTTAAATTTGTATTTTTTATTTAATTTGTGTGTAACAGTAAATACAGGTTTCATTAAAAAAAACAAGATTAAAATGATAAAACTTTTTTTTAAATAAAATCCTAACATAAATGTGTCGATTATTTTGGTTGCCATAAAAGTTTCAGTCATTAAATAAACATAAAAATCTCTCTTACAATGTTGTGAGGCATTGATTAATGATTAGTGTAATTAAGTGTATGAGCGCTCACACAAAGCCATCGGCGACAACACTGTGTATACATAACACCACCGCCAGAGAGAAATGCCTTTCCTCTCAATTGACATCAAGAACTTTGTGATTACAATTGATTGGCAAAAAAAGTTATAGCAAAGGTATATATATATATAGTATAAACACATTTATACTATAATATATATGCCATATACTATATTATATGGTTTATATGGGTGTTATTGAACCTAAAAATAATACCATTAAATGAAATATATACAAAAAACCGAAAAAGCACTATAAAAAGCTAATATAAATTGAGATTCAGAAAACTATTTTGTTTGAATGATCATTAAATGACTAAATAAAGAGTCGGTGAGAGAGAGAGAGAGAGAGAGAGAGAGAGAGAGAGAGAGAGAGAGAGAGAGATAATGGCATTGTATGGTCACAATCAAAAAAAGTCACAGACTAAGTGCCAGAATATTCTGGGCTTTTATTTGTCATAAATGTCGAGGTTTTAGTTTAGTTAGGAATCGAAATTAAAAAACATTGAGATATACTGTATGGCATACAGTGTATGCTGTGAATAAAACACAAACATAAAGATGGTTAGAGAGAGAGAGAGAGAGAGAGAGAGAGAAAAGAGAAAATTGT